CTAATGAATTTAAAGTTTAATTAAGTGAAATAACATCCAAATCGTTATAAAAATCTATAGCGCTGCTTGTGGCATGGTAATTTAAAAGCTTCAGTTTTAGTATATGACTGCGCCAACAGAAATCGTTCAGTTATAGATATTTGGTACATCTCGAATTTGTTGGACAATAGGATATGGTTGCTCGATGTTTAATATAGGTAGTACTGAAATCGAGTAATCTGGGTTTCCTATAATTTTTGGTACCCCAAATGTTCGGACGACCTTCAGTTTTTCGCTTATAACAACGCATCCTAGCGAAAACCTTATTCAGAACCAAATTAAAGAGCATTAAATTCTGCATAGATTGACTCCCTCCGCCCCTCCACTTTAAAACTGAACTAATTTATAAAGTAGTAATGGACGGCTGGAGGACGACCATTTTTCCAATATTGACTAAAATGTACCATTTGACGACTTTCTGTCGTCGGTAGCATCCAAAGTGCTGGTCCTATCAAAACAGCCTTGTAATAAAAAGAAAACAATATAAATTGTGCACCACTCTTGTGCAGATAAAGCGCATTTTTTTTAAATCGTACATGCTATTGATGTCTTGGTAGATGGTTAATGGGGAGGAGGCTCTTTACACGTAAACATTTAAAGTTTTTAAAGACATTAAAGACTTAAAGACTCCATTTTGGAGATATTAGCATTGAAAGCTTTGACATCACCAATAGGTATGTCTCCTCCTGACGTTCCACTTGCCTTTTATGAGTACTCTCTTCCTACATTTCGTTGTTAAGGTATTTGCTTTGACTTCACCAATAGTCGGCCCGTGTGGCGCAGTTCAATTAAAGCGGGACTGTGATAGTAAGGGTCTCTGGTTGGGGTCCGGGTTCGGGCATGGATATTTGTAAATGTATAGTGGGTTGGGTTGGTATAGCAGCTTTGGCTGAAACATCGCCCACTCAAAAAAAAAGCAAAATAAATAAGAATAAATATGTAGACTGTGACCAAGATAAGGATGTCTATCATGGGGATCTTCGAAACCATAGAAGATGCGGTTAAATTTGCCCTATTAAACAGTTATTATAATACCGAAATTTGCCAATTTCGTTTTTGTTTTCTGATATTATTTGAGCAGATACAGAAAAACACTTTCTCATTGCCACTTTTTGAGCTCTACAAGATACCGCTGAGATTTTTTCAAAACAATGTTTCGTTTCAGAGAAATCATCACAAACTTGATTTGTTTATATGGCCTCGTAAAAAAGTACTGTATTTAGTGGCATTTTTTATTAGGGATACACTGATATACGGCATACAAAAAAAAACAAAATTGGTAACTCTGGTGTGGTGGTTTCAACAGGATGGTGCACTCGCGCATAACGGATTAATGTCGCAAGAATGCCTATCGAACAAATTTCCTGGAAAATCGAAAATTTCTCGAATAGGTATTCTTACATGATACTTGACGCGAGAATGTTTTAATATAATCGTTGGGACAATTTCAAATAGGTACCAGCATTATTTTCCAAATTCCAATTGCATTTGCTTAATAAATGATCATATAGGAATAGATTTTACCCCTGTCAGTAATATCTTTCCGACTCATAAAGTATCACATTTTGTTTCAGCCACACACCCATTTTTAAATCATTAAACGTGTTAGTACCTATTGCACTATCGTCGTAGATTAACCATTTTTGTGCTTTGACACAATTTTGAAAAGCTATTTTGCTACCG